GGGGCTGGCTGGCATGTGGTGCTGGGGGATTGAACTGTGGTCCCTGTGCTTTGCTAAGCTTGTTCTAAGTAGTTGCTTTAGACCACTGAGCCATCTCACCAGCCCACTGATTTATTTTTAACTGAGTGGTGGTATGAGAATCTTCAGCAGGTGCCAGAGTATATTTCAGACTGCACAAAGCCCTCCTCATAAGCCCTCTGTCCTCTGATTTCTGATGTAAGGAGGAATGTTACCAGTGGGAGTGTTTCTTAAATGAATAGCATGGAGGGTTGTTAGTCTTCCAGATTTTAAGGTGTGGCATATTTATGTTCTTCAAATATGAACAAGTTGAAAAGTGGAGAAATAGTAGGGATAATGTTTGAAAACTAGCTCAGGCTTAGAAAATTAAACTGAGGAATGGTTTCTTTTTAATGAGAAAGTGATACAATCAGAGTATTGCATTGGGAAAATTGATAATGGCTATTGAGTATCAATAAACAAGCTATTGGAATGACTTTAAAAAGGAATATGAAGGGGCTATATCAGGCAAGGGAGTGGTGAAAAAAAAAAAAAGATAAATAGGTGGCTCCAGGGAGAGTTACTTAAAGTCTGATGAGATAACAGGGTAAAGGAGGCATAAAAAACTGCTGTAGGGTTTTGAGCCTGATTTTTATCAAAGAATGAAGATTAGTGTAATGTAGGGCAAAAGGAAAGTTAGCTTTAGACATTTGGGTGTGAGATGTTTATGGAGTATGGAGAAGGAATGCCAAGTAGGTTTTTGGGGACTAAGGTAGAGAGAAAAGCTTGGAAGTTTGTTGCATTAAAAAGCAAGCCAGGCCTGGTGGTACATACCTGTAATCCCAATACTTGGCGGGGGCAGGAGGATCACTGCAAGTTTGAGACCAGCTTGACCACAAAATGAGCTCAAGGCCAGCCTGAACTACCTAGTGAGATCCTGTCTCAAAAAGACAAAAGCAGAAAAAAACCCAAAAAACAAAAAGATAATTTTTAGAGTAATGTATGTGACCTAAAGTGGGTATAGACAGGAAAATTACTGAAGAGCTAAACTCTAGTAAAGGTCATGCTTAGTGAGCAAGAGGAGGAAGACTAGGATGTTTGAAGAATTCATAAGAATCACAGTGTGCAGGCCCTGGGTTCAATTTCTAGTACTTGGAGTAAAAAGGAACAACATAAAATGAAAAATGCTAATGTTATACATAGAAATATGTACATTGGAAAGCCCTCCAAATTTCTACATACCATAGTCCGCCATATTAGTAATTAATATGTGTTCACCCCTTTTATTTTATTTTATTTTTGTCATACCAGTGATTGAACTTAGGACCCTGGGCTTGCCAGGCAGGCCCTTATTCTACTGAGCTATCTCCCTGGCCCAACCTAATTCATATAGAATCTTTTTTTAATTTTTTTTATTTTTATTTTTTAACAGAAGTAGATAATACTCTATCTACTGGAAATCTGTTTTACTTATTAATATTATCTTAGACATCTTCCTGCACTAGACCATCTCACTTTGCCTTATTCCTCTTTGTACTTCTGCTGCCTTCCAATAGCACCCCACAGGCTGACTTCCTGCAGTGTAGGGAGGGTGTGTCCCCATAGCTTACAGGTCATTGCTCTTTGTGGCCACAGGGCTCTCCCTAGCATTCTGCCCCACTGCAGATGCTTGTTTTGCTTCCCACTTTCAGTTTCCTTCCCAAGGTTTTAACTCTGCTCCAGATGTATAGGGGGTGGTGTTGCTGTCCCCATCTATGGCAGTGCCAAAGGTCATTTCCTAGAACTGGAAGTGCCTGGCTGAGCACCATGGTGGAGAGAGGCCCAGCCAAGCAGCCTCACTGTGCAGTGCAGTCTCCCATGTATGATAGGCAGAGTGCTGTGCTTAGTGAAGAAGCACTGCTTCCATTTTAATGTTCCTGTTAGTTTTGTTTTGGTTATTTTTTATTTTATTTTATTTTTTGCGGAACCAGGGATTAAATTCAGGCCCTTGCACATATTCTACTGAGCCATCTCCCTAGCCCCCTTTATTTTTTACTTTTATTTTTTTATTTTTGGCAGAACCGGGGATTGAACTCAGGCCCTTGTGCTTGCCAGGAAAGCACTTATTCCACTGAGCCATCTCCCTGGCCCCCTCCCCTTTATTTTTTTTTCCAAAAAGTTTATGTTTATCTCTCCAACTTTCTAGTTTTTTAAAAGTCAGTTTTGTGACCTACTACAAGATCAGTTTATAGCATTATCTAAATAAATAATTATCTGTAAGATCAGTTTTGGTGTTCATCCAGCTAAGCCCATTGGGCATGTGTTGTGCCCTTAATAGGGGGATCCCGGGGCCAGGGGGATGGCTCAATAGAATAAGTGCTTCCCTGGCAAGCACAAGGACCTGGGTTCAACCCCTGGTTCCACAAAAAAAAAGGGGGGGGGATCTCTGTGGATTTCACTGAAAGCATCTGAGGGTTATGGAATGAGGCAGAAAAGATCTAGAGGCCAGAAGGCTGGAATCTATTTAGTTTTGTTCTCCAGAGAGGATTTGGCTAGCATATATGTCCAGGCTGTAGTTTTTAAAACAAGATGCTGGCAAAGGTATGCTGAACGACTTAAGAGAATCTCTCGTTTTCAGTTCTGCCATTGCTTTGTGTTTGCTTGGTCTAAATGGGTTGTCCAGCATGAGCCAGGTTGAATGTCATCCTGCATGAATGGTTAGTGTTGCTATTCACATCACTGTGCTGACTCCAAAGGTCATTTCCTTTGGAAATGGGAGAATAGACCAAGTCTGGAAAGAGGTTCTGATCTTGGCTTTGATCATCACATACCATCCGGGGGCTGTTACATTGTCTATAAAATGAGGACATTGACCAAGTCCTGTGGTTCTTACCTAGGGATGGAGATCAGTTGTACATTGATGTCTCAGGTTCCTAGGGAGAAATAGCGGCAGGAATGGAGAAAAGATAGGCAAGAGCTGGTGGTGGTCCATCTACCTGATTGGCGAAAAGCACCAGAACAATAGTAGAGGCATTTTTTTCATCCTTTCACAAAATTAGTATCATGTGACACAAGGTTGCCTAGTGACTAGTAGCTGACATTGACCAGGCCGGATAGTGTTCTTTTTTTTTTTTGGCGGAACCAGGGATTGAACTCAGGCCCTTGCACTTGCCAGGGAAGCGTTTATTCCACTGAGCCATCTCCCTGGCCCCAAGCAGGATATTTTTCTCAGGACTGAGGTAGCTTGACTGCTTTAGGCAGGCCTAGTCCTGTTGCCACACATTTGACCAATTTCCAACTTCATCAGTTCCCATCAATTGAAGATCAGTTATACAGTTGTGATTTGTAAACACGCTCCTGAGGGGTTCTGAGGCACTGTATTTTTTGAGAATCAGTCTAACTCTTCAACATTTGAGTTTTCTCCTACTTACATTTCTCCATTACTCTGTGAAGCCCTTCTTACAGTGTGTGAGTGTGTGTGTGTGTGTGTGTGTGTGTGTGTGTGTGTGTGTGTTTTGGTTCTTATCCTCCACTTTGCTCAGTGTTATATGTCAACTTGAGTCTGGAAGCTTAGCTAAGTAACTCAGCAGTTCTGCATCCTGGGGATTAGAGGAGATACCCTTATCATTCTAGGATGTTGTTCATTGTGTCAACTTGAGAAGTTTAAAAGTTTACCTGAGTGATTCAGCAGGGGGCCAGGGTCCTTACTTTATAAATGTCCTGAGCCTGTGCAAGATGAAGTCACAGAGGTGGTGTGGACGGATAGCCCTTGTTCAGTGTCAGGGAGGAAAAGAAGCTTTGCTTTGAGAAGGTAGCTGCAGAGCACCATGCTCCACAGTGCTGCAGCACAGAAAATTTGTTCCTCAGAACTGCATTCAGAGTGCCCAGCGATCCAGACAGCCAAGAGAGGAAAATTTGGCTGCTGCTTCAGTTGACAGCAGACCTCGGAATTGTCCACATGGTGCTGATTTTATGTGCATGCAGAATCCAAGATTTCTGAAGTTAAAAAGGCTTCCACTTTGATTTCAGAAGACCATAGGAGGCCAGGCAGTGTGCTCATAAGAGGGCAGTGTGTGAAACTGTGAGCGAGAAGCCTAAAGTGCAGTGGAGACCTCAGAAGTCTGGAAAAACCAGGAATGTGGTTCGTCTAAGGAAAGCTGTGAGGTTTGAGCAGAGTGGGCTTAAGAGAGAAGCCGTGGGAGATATAACCATCAGAAGTGACATGCTTTGGAATCACGCAAGTCCTTTGGAGCTCAGTGTGCTACAGGTGGCTTCAGATGTTGGACTGGGAACTATAGGATTTATGCTTTTCCTGCTAGATTTTGGACTTGCTTTGGTCCCATTCCTTTGTATTCCCGTTTGTACCATTTGGAATGAAAAGTTTATCTTGTGCCATTGGGTGTTGAAAGTGTTTAACTTTGTTTTCATTTGTACAGGACCTTGCAACTAAAGTGTTTGCCTTACATCTCTCAGGAGACTTGGTACTTGCACTTCTCAGCAGTGCTGAAACCCTTAGGACTTTGGCAACTCTTGCAGATGGACTAAATAAATCCTTTTTTCATAAAGGGATTGGTATGAATCTTTGGAGGGCCAGGGGCAAAATGTTACAATTCTAACTTAACATAATATTGACAACCTTAATACTGGTTTTTAAGAATTGTTAAACCTAAAAAAAAAAAAAAAAATTGTTAAACCTGTGTTATATAATGTGAAGTGATAATAAGGTGTTTGTATCTGGAAACTGGTTAAAAGA